CTCCCGCCAGCCCTCCCGCCCAGCCAAATAAGGACTGGGGAGCCGCGCCGAGGGGGGAGCCTGGGGGAGCGAGCGGGAGAGCCGGGCAGGACAGAGGGAGGGAGGGAGAGAGGCAGAGTGGGAGAGGAGAGGAGGAGACGGAGAGAGACCAAGCACGCCAGCCCCGGAGAAAACTAGACCGGGAAACACAGATAACTACGGAGAAAGGGAGAAGGAGGCAAGGAACGGCCCAAGGAAGGGGTGCATGTGTGAACAAGGAGACAAAACGCGACCGCAGAGGTAGACACACAGCTCCAGAAACAAGAAAAATAAAGAAGCAGGCAGGCAAATCGGGGCAAAGGGCCCGGCAGAGCGGCAGCAGGAACACAGAGCTCCAGAGCTGCAGATAAACTGATGCTACAGAAAAGCAAGGGAAGGGAAGGGACAGGCGAGGCGAGCCCCCTCCTCCACCCTCCAGCCGAAGCACAGTGTGTTTCACTGTGCCTGGAGAGGACTTCCGGCCTTGCTGCCCTCTCCCTTAACGTGTGGATGAGGAAACTGAGGCACACGGAGGTGAAACGACACACCGGGCACATAGTGAGTTGGTGACAGCACAAGGATTTAGCTAGGATTTCCTTCCCCCATACACACTCCTGCCCCCGGCAGGCCCCCAGCGCCTGTGAAACCACCAGGGCCAGCTGTGGACTTGGGCACAGGTGAGGCCACACCCAAGGGTCCTTCCTCAGTCTCACAGGCTCTGCTCCCCAGGGACTTCTACTTTGACCTCACCAACATGCCCAGGAAGGCTTGAGACAGTCTATTGGCTTGGGTGTGCCAGCAGGACTGGGATCTGATTGAAACAGGGCAGGTGGGGCCCAGCTGAGCAGGCTCACTGACAGCCTGGCGGGACTGGGGAGAAGCTCCCTGTCTCTGTCAACATGGCCACCATGGTGGTGAGGAGGCACAGGCAGTGAGACCTCCCATGAGGTGTGGCTGCCCCTCTCACAGCCTCCTGTCCTTATCGCCCCATGAGGTGTCATGGCAGATGATCCCACAGGCTTCGCTCAGCTCTTAACAGCCCTGGACTTGGGTGTCTGAGTGAGCAGAATGACTGGAATGCAGATCCCAGTGCAAAGGAGGGTCAAGAAGTCCTTCACGGGACCCTGGCACAGTCCACATAGAGAGATATGGTAGGGGCCCCAAGCCAAGAGAAGGCTCAGGGGAGTTAACTAGAGAGGACGACACTGTCTGCCACATCCTGGGCTGGCCTGTCACCGCCAGACACTAGACTTCTCCAACTGCGTACAAGGAGTGCCACCAACCTACCCGTTCCTCAGCCCTCTATTCCACAAGTATTCATGGAGCTTCTGCTATGTGTTTGTCTGGGTGCATTACGTTCACTATCTCTAGTCTTTATCACAGGCTTGAAAGGGAGCTGTGCTTATGCTTATGGCCATTTTATAAGTGGAGACACTGAGGCTAAAGGCACCAGAAGCATCACCTGAGCTCACTCAGCTGGGAGGAGGCTCCAGTCTGTCTGCCTCTCAAGCCCCATTCTCTTCTTCATGACTCTTTGAGCCTCACCTTTTCCATCTGTAAAATGGGATAGGTCATTATATACCCCTATCTACCTAGGAAGTAGTTCTTTGGCACAATCCAACCAGGCCCAGAGTAGGAGGACAGGCCTCCTGCCTGCGAGTCTGGGGGCCACTCAAAAACCTAGACTGCACCAGCATAGCCCCATCCACATCCCCCTCCACATGGGACAGGTGGAGAAAGAGCCCCTGGGCAAGGCATTTATTATTAATTATGATGAATCTTGTGCTCACAGCACTTCAGAACTGGCATGGCCTTAGAGAGCATCTAGCCCAGCCTTCTCATGTTACAGGTGAGTATCTACCTAGGAAGTTGGTTTTAAGGGATCAAAGGAAGCCATGTGTGTGCAAATGAAAGGATATGAGACCCTCTGATGACTTCTGCTCTCAAGGACTTGGGTTTCTGCACCAGAGCCTGATGGGAGGGCCCTGAGTTTGGAGCCCAATGTCCCTTCTCACAAAAGAAGGTCTTGGATTCTTTGCAGCTGTAAACTGGCCATGAACCCAGCCTCAGTCTGTCACAGGCTTTTCCCCTGGCATCTTCTGTGTCACTAGAAGAAAAGTCCTATATTTCCCAGCATTCCAAGGGTGAGCAACAAGCCAGGCTCTGTCTACCTGTGATGCTCTGGCTCCTGGTCACAACAGAATCTGCCTCCCCTAAAGTGTGTCTAGACGCACAAGTGTCTTGCTAGACCTGCTTACAGGGTGGGAATGCTGTGTGTCCTGGTCTGCTCACTGCTGACTGCCAAGCTAGGCCACTGGACAGATGAAAGGTGATATTATAAGTGAAAGAGCTTTGGAAAAGGGAAAAAACACTCTCTTTGGGGGCAAGGCATTTATTATTAATTATGATGGATCTTGTTCTCACAACACTTCAGAACTGGCATGGCTTTTAGAGAACATCTAGCCCAGTCTTCTCATGTTACAGGTGAGGAAACTGAGGCCCGGAGAGTAGGAAGGGAGCTGCTGAAGGTCACACAGTGAGTGAGGGGAGCAGGGCTCATGCTCCATGCATGTAGCACCTCCTGTGTATGGAACAAGAATATCCATCATGGGGAGAGGATGATGGTCATGGTGGAGTCCAAGGAAGTAGTCTGGCCTTCTTCCTGGTCTTTCTCCACCTGCCCCATGTGGAGGGGGATGTGGATGGGGCCATGCTGGTGCAGTCCAGGTTTCTGAGTGGCCCCTAGACTCATAGGCAGGAGTCCTGTCTTCCTACTCTGGTCCTGGTTGGATTGTGCCAAAGAGCTAGCAGCCCATCACCCTTCCTTCCATGTGGAAAGGAATGCCTGGGGCCTGCCACACCTGTTTAAGGTTGACCTGTCACTGCCTTGTGTTTGCTGTGGCATTTTGGGTCAGTCACTCCTTCCTGTTCCTTAGTTTGCATCCCTAAGTGGAAGTTTTTGGACCAGGAAATGTCTAACCTCCCTTCATGTACGACATCCCCTTACTTTCCTGGTCTTCTCGTGACTATTTCCCCACTTCCCTCAAGAATTAGGCAGAAACAAAAGGGAATAACCATTGCTCTGAAGACCAGATTGTGAGGAAAGGGACACCAACAAGGTTGGGATAAATTGTAGAGAATTTATTATTAGTTATCATATTTGTTATAAACATGACACACGATTATTTTCCGGCCTATTTCCTACTCCGTTCCTCTCTAAGCTCCAGACACATCTGAGTACTTTATACTTCACATGACTCATGTGGCTCCTGTCAGCCGCGATGCGCTACCTGTGCCTCTCCCATCTTCTGCCTGTTGGGCTCCTATTCAGGCTTCAAGACCCAGCTCAGAGGCCACTCTTTCCCTTACAGCATTCCCTAAGTGCCTCCTATTGGAACCTCTGACTACTTTGTGCATCTACAGACTCCTATCCAAAGCTCCCATTCAGCTGGTTACTCTGCCTGCCTACCAGATCAGTTGGCTCTTTGATATTGGCCTCCCCCACTGGCCCGCCATCTTCCCCAGGGCGGGCAGCCTTCTTACTCCTGCTGCTCTTCCCACAGTGCTTTGCACATCAGAGCTGGCCACATTTTCCTGTAGGTCCTCAGTACACAAGTGAAGGCCTTGAAGAATCCTGTGCTCACTGGGTTCGAGACCAGCAGTGTCGGTGGGAGAGGGGCACAGATGGCCAAGTCCTGGGCAGAAGAATCCAAGCACTGTGCTCCTGTGGCTGCAGATGGACACTTCTGAAGCTGAGTGAGGGAGGAGGGAGGACAAAGACAGATGGGAGCATCCGAAGCTCCAAGCAAGCACACAACAGCAGAAAGTGCATTGAACTGGAATTCAGTACCAGTGTAGTTGGTTCAGTTGGGAGAGCTGCATGGCTTCCCTGTGCCTCAGTTTCTTTTTTAATACAATGAAAGGCTTGACTTTGTGAACAGGTCTCTTCCCCTGCTGATGTTCTGGGATGCTATCGGAAGCCCTGTTCCTGTGAACAGCAGTGCTTTTGCCTCAGTGGCTAAGAATGCAGCCGGAGAGGCCCTTCTGTTTATTGCTCTTCTGCCTTGCCTTCTGGGCAGTTTGGTTGGAAGCTGGGCAGGACCAATAAGGTTAGAAGTATAGGTGCTGACCCTGAGTCGGACAGGCTTGGCTCCATCCTGTTTGACTGGGGCCTTATGTGAAAATGCTTGTCCACTCTCTCTGGACGCAAGTTCCCACAGGGCAGGAGCAAGGCTTCTTTGTGTCTGTATGCCTAGCCCTTAGCGCCGCAGCCAGTGCAGAGAAGCTCTCTGCAAATGCTCTTCCACCACTGCCAGTCAGTGTGGCTGGCCTAGGCAGGTTGGCCTGGGGCCCATGGTTCACTGTAGGAAGAGGTATCCAGAGCCATCCCAACATCAGAAAGGGGCAGTGCTCAGAGAGGGGAACGGGGCCCAGAAGCTGCAGCAGCAGAAGGAATGGCTGACACAGAGTGCTCTGCCAGGTGTGGTGGCCGCAGATGGGTCTGATCCAGGGTGCTGTGGATGTGACTGAGGTGTTTCATAGTGTATCTCTGTAGGACGAGAACTCAGGGATTAGCTTGGCTTTACAGAGCATAACTGGTCCCACTGCGGCCGGCTTGCATTTGTCAAGAGCCGCTGTTTGTTTAACATCTCAAGCCCAGATCAAACACAAAAGGCAACTGTGAGCAAAGGGAGACTCTGTGGGCCATGG